TGAGTGCGTTCCAAGGTCTCATGTACTATGTTAAGCATTGCACAAAGGGGATGAAAGATTAAACAGGTTTGTCAAAATAACAGGCTGCAGTGGTATAGACCATTCATAGGGCACTTATAGCCAAACAAGTGGAGGTGACTTTTTTAAAGTAATACTGTTAAATACGTCCTTTATTAATAAAAATAATGTTATTTTTATTATTTTTCATTTATTTATGCATACAAAAACTAGGGTGTAGGCCAGAGGTATAGGGTGGGTGTGAGGGATTCTTCAGACACAGAGCTGGGAGCAGAACAGTTGGATATCCTGAAATATCCTGTTAAGGGGGGCAGCAGACGAGAAAGGAGATGTCTGTTGTGCCATGTGGGTCAGCTCCCTGGCCAGGGAGAGAACTGGTGCTGCAGTGTCTGGCAGTAGCTTACTATTGCTGAGACTCTAACTGCTTCACCACCAGGGAGGCCCTATAAAAAAATATTAAATGATCCTTTAAGGACATTAGATAAGTCTGGAAAAGGGAACTAGTTTAGCAAAAATCCTTCCTTATACTTGCTACCAATATTTTTAGCATTCACTGTGATGAGATAAAAGGACTTAACGTCTTTCTGTCTTTCCTAAGTTCTCCCTGAGGCAGCCACAAACACACATAATGACATCCCCATACCACCATAAGCGTGGGCGGGGCAGAAGATCCTATACGTCCCCTGGGAAGTAGGATGTAAGAAAGGATTTCATGTTCCCAGGGAGACTCTCCAGGCTATTTTGGGTCTTGATCCTCTTAAAATTGTTTCTTTGGAACTGATGCATTTGTTTATTATGAGCTTCCCTTCCATGGGATTCTCTATAGTCTAACAGATAACTTCCTTTCTGCTAGAAGGAAGAGAACATTGACCAGTTAGGTCAGGGTTGGTACAGGGTTAGGGCACCTTAAGAGTGACTATGTTATAAACAGCATTTTTCGTCTTGTTTCTTGCCTTTACCGAAAAATAGTTGTCTGTTACAATTTTGATAAGTTTTTGGGTAGTGTTTGAGCATTGTTTGGATAGTGTTGGTGTTGGTGTGATGTTAATGGCATGTGTGTATTTGTGTGAATGTATATGTATTTCTCTGATATTCTTGATTCCTCAATATCCCCTAAAATTAGTTTAAAGAGCTGAACTCATATTCAATGTCTATCATGGATACCATGCTTTTCCATTTGAAGTAGGTATGCTTTTGATGATATGCTGAGCTTACCAAGAATAGAAAGACACAGTCAAGATAAATGTGACACATCTTTCCTGGAAGAATGTAAGATGAAATCATGTTCAAATTAACATAAAATAAATCATAGATGAATATGCAGAATTCACATGAATTTTCAAGTGCAGGGGGCATCATTAAATACTGCTTTTAATGAATAACTGTATGAAAAGCTTCCAGGTCCCCTGGGTGATCACAGTAACATCTAACATGTATTGAGGAGGGCTTATTATGGGCGACACATTCATTTAATCATAGCAACCCTATAATCTAGTTGTTATGATTTCCATTTTACATATGCAGAAGCTGAAGCTCAGAGGAATTAAATAACTTGCCCAAGGTCATACAGTAAACAGTAGAATGCTGACTTAATACTAAACTGCCTTCCTATAAATATAACTTTAGTTTTAGCTTTAATTATGTGGGTCTTTGTGCTCATTAGTGTTTTTAAAAAATCAAACAATATACTAGTATCTAAACTAAAAAGGGAAAAGTTTCTGTCTTCCCCAACTTTTTAAATATGTTCCTACTTCCTTCTTGTGTATTATCTGAGATGTAATCTCTAAGGACCTTAACTAATATCTCCAAAGTCTTGGCTTTCAATCTCTTTTCTGTATCGCTGTATTGTTAGGAAAGCTGGGAAGCACTTAAATAAAGTGGACCATCAGAACAATCTCCCCAATATTTAATTAGAACCATTTTAAAATCAAATTTCTACTGGATGTGTCTGTTCAATTCCTTTGCCAGTGTATAATTCGATAAAAGTTAGAGACATAATATTCTCCAGTATAGTAAGACCATATGAAGGATTTCTCTAGCTCAGTAACAAGAGACTCCACAAGATGTCAAGGCTGTTTCAGAGTATGACAGGAGAAACTGGTATATATTTAGTCAGTTAAAAATGCTGGAACAAAGCCCTCCTTGCGCAACAGGTAAGTATGCAGCACTGCATGCTGGCCACAGCCGCTTCAGTGCAGTTAGATACCTGCCCTGGAGGTGATCCACATGGCACAGCGGACCTCTCCTGACCTGCCCACTGCTCCCCTCAGCAGTGTACTTCTTTGATCTACCTATCCTGCTCCCCACTTTGTCTCTGGTGAATCCTCTCACCACCAGCCGCTAGCCTATACCCCACCTGCAGTTCTGTATGCATAAATATATATATATGTATATATATATGTATATATATATATATATATTTTTTAATGCTGAAACAAGATTGCATATTTAGATACAGAAATGATTAGTTTCCTTCAGGGCTGTTAAAACTTTGATCTTTAGCTATACTTCTTCCTATGGACAAAATTCATTTACCTCTTTGGGGAAAAATTATTTATAATTTATCAGTTCTGTCAATAAGCATCTAATGTTATAGTCTGAGCTCTAATTAATAGTAAATTCTAAGATAAAGTTACCTTCCCTAGAGCAGCTGCCCAATAGATCTTTCTACATAGATGGAAATCTCCGTATGTGCTGTGTGATATACCACCTTTCTGTAGCCGTCGACCACTTGAAATGTGGCTAGAGTTCATATCGAACTGATTTTTCTACTTAATTTTAATTCAGATTGAGATTTTAATCACCACATGTAGCCAATGGCTACTATAGTGGACAATATCCCCTGACTATTAGTGGGTTAATTACAAAAGGCAGATAGTTTGCCTTGAAAGGGCTCACAACAATCTTTTTGCCTTATTTGCAAGTTGAGACATTTGTCTTGATACCATTGTCTCTTCCATACTCCCATCAACCTTGATTTTTTTTTTCCTTCTTTGCTGTTAGGACAAGAAAGGGACCGATTTGTTTGAACACTGTTACCCAGTAATGGCTTCTGTCCAGCTCTCAGCTCTGAGTGATGGCCCCTTTGAGGACTGCGGATGCAGTGCCAGGCACTGCAGTCAGCAGGAACATACACGCAGCTGCAGACTGATGGAGGTGACGTGTTTTCCTGGGGAGCCAAGGAGTAAATGTCACAAGAAAAGTGGTTGAAAATAGTTCTCATCCCCTTTCTCTATTGCAGACGATCCAGAATGAACTGTTTTTAAAAGTTGAACTTTTAATATTCCCAGTGATTGGGAAAGACTTCTGGTAAGAAGTCTCAAGGTTAAATAGGTCACTAGGTTTTTATTAGTTATCAATAAAGTTCCCAAAGCTATTTCTCAAAAGGGAATAGATTCATGCAACCACAAAGAAAAGGAAATATGATTTGTCTACAGCAAAGGTGATGCGAATTTGTTATTTTGGAAGAAGTATTTGTGCAGTGATTGAGAGGTTTTTTTTTATTTATTGATTTATGCATGTAAGAACTGGGGTACAGGCCAGAGGCACAGTGGGTTAGAGGATTCACCGAGGAGTGTGTGGAGAATAGAACAGGTGGATTGGCCAAAACACACTGCTGAAGAGAGCAGCTGGCAGGCCAGGAGGATTCTGCAATGCCATGTGGGTCGCCTCCCTGGCTTGGGATCAAATTTATGCTGTAGTGGCTGCAAAGAGTATTGCACTTTGACCTATTACACCACCAAGGAGGGCCCTGATTGAGAGTTTTAAATAGGAAAGAAAGAAGCCTCTACTGGTTCTTGATGGACCTTAGTCGGAAGAGGACAAACAAATTGACTATACCGTAGAAAGTTTTACTGCATATATGTTTTCAGCTGTTTGAGGACATTTGTACCTCCATTCAGTAAAAGCAACTGACTGACTCCAAAGGACTTTAACACTCCATAAATGAGGTTGATACCACCCTCATCAACTCATCAGGGATGCCTCCCTTTCAACTCTTACCAGCAATAGGAACCAGGCAGTGAAGTTTGTCTTGCTTTGTACTGAACTTTGCCTGCCAGCAGCTAGGAGTTTTGCTCTGGACCTGCCAGTAACATGCCTGTGGAAAGGGCTTGAAGCACAAGTGTTCTGTTTTCAAATCATTTTGTCTGCCTTGGCAGCTTTAGTGACCCTATGATTTCTTGAATCCTCCCATCTTTCTTATTCCCGAAATTGCTGAAGCCTTTATGGGAAGGTCAAGTAGACTTTGCTGTAAATCACCAGAGATCCGAAACAGGGAAGTTAAAAAGAGAATCCCAATTGCTTTCAAATAGACTTGAAATTTTACTCTTTTAATTTTTGTTAAGCTTGTTGTAGTTAGAAGAGGCTTATAGAACCATAAGACTTTATAAACCAGACTACCCATTGATTTTAAAGGTAAATGAAGGCGAACTAGAAATGGGTTTATTGTCTCACTGATGCTCTTTGAAAGCTTTCTGAAGTGTATTTTCACCTTCCTGTCTTAGTTATCACAGTAAACATTGTTAATCTTATTTCTCTTAATACCATACACCAGATTATGCCCCAAACATAATTTTCCTCTTCAGTTCTTACTATAATCTCTTTCCTGAGAATGGAGGTTGAGTAGAACACTCAGTATTTTGAGTATATCTCCTTCAACACATTGGGGGAGTCTTTTGAAATCAATTTTGTGCTGCTCTCTGATATTCTTTTTCCATAGATATCAGTTTTATTAAGTGCTTATGACTCAGCCACTATGCTAACAATTTTGAATGAATGGATGATCTCTTTTTTTTTTAAGATTTATTTATTTGTGCATACATAACTGGGGTACAGGCCAGAGACTTGGGGGTGGCGAAAGACTTCACCAGAGACAGAGCAGGGAGCAGAACAGGCAGATCGACGAATACACTGCTGAGGGCGGGCCAGGAGAGGTCTGCCGTGCCATGTGGTCACCTCCGGGGCAGACGGGAATCGAACTCATGCGGAAGTGGTTTCAGCTTCTTAATGCTGTGCTTTAACCCGCTGCACCACCAGGGAGGGCCGGATGATCTCTTTTAATGTTCACAATCATTGAGTTAGTAGCACTTTTTCACTAGTAAAAATGAAGAAACTGAAGCTCAGATAAGTGACTCACTCAAGGTTACTCAATTATTGGAAGCATAACTAAAATATATATGTATTTAACTGTACAGCTTTGCTCACAACTCATAAAAGTGTTGGCTTCCATTCCCTGGTCTGGACTTTGCATCCTTTGTAACTGACCTCTCCAGGCATATCAATTATTGCAAAAGGAGGGTAAGATTCTCTCTCTGCCAAGGTTGGGATACTGAGACTTGTAAGAAAAACTCATAGTACCATTTTATCATTGTTGTTATTATACCGTTCTCAATGACTTCTCATTTAGTTGGGTTCTAGTAAATTGATAGACTATGTTTAAAATGGGAAATATCACAGTCCACTATGGAAAAGAAACTGGCCTAAGTACTCCTGACTTTGGACTTGAACCCAATGTTCTGGGTATTGACTTCCCATAGGAAGTCGAGGTAGTTTAGCTAATGAGAAGGTCAACTCACAGTGCCTTTTTGCTGGTCCCAGTTAATTGTGCTAACAAAATTAACAAAAGTAACTTTTGTTACTTGTCTTACAAAACACCCAAATATAACCTAAATAATTTTCCTGGTCTCTGAGTTTGTCTATTATGTTGCTTATTTTGTTTAAAGGGCTTAGATATAACAATTTCTCTGATTTTGGAGTGACTCAAGTTACCTTTGTGACTTACAGCAAGGTTTAGGTAACTATTTTTATACCTTAGACTTCCTGTATTATTATTTCTATCCTAAGCATGGGGGTAATTTTCCTAATTTTGAATGGGACTGTGTATGATTTGGGATTCTGCTTTCAGACAGAGTGCAAAAGAAGAGTAAAATGCACTTAATGTAGATCAATTCTGTATTGGCTTTGTGATCTTTGGAAACACTAATACAGTGGGCCTCAAGCAGAGGGATGCCATTAAGAAATCACCTTGTCCTCTAAAGTGACCTTGCTAGAGTAAAATTATTTTTGAAGAGCTTTAAAATTCAGTAGTTCAAAGAATTATTCCATACAGATTTGCAATATAACTTAAAATTATTTTCTATTAAAAATGCCTTCCCGAGTACAAACAATGTGTTTTTAAAGGGAAAATGCAGAGAACGTGAATGTCACTTGGAGCTGAACAACCAGGTAGCATTGCTGAATATTCATGAAACTAATTTTAAAATATCTCTCAGATGGAATTCCATGGAGACATCAGACTTCTCATCTAAGAGGCAAATCAGTCAAAAAATACCACAGAGAATCTGATCCTTACCACAGACATTCCCCAGTGAGCCATTTGTGAAGCTATGGTGATAAAGTCTGCTCTATAAAAGAACTTACAATTGGCTAGAGGATACTGCAAATTGCTACCTATGTAAATAGTTGTAAAAACAAACAATAAACCCAAGAGACGCCTAGGACTGTATTGGCTACAATACGGTTGGGTTGAGGGGAGCTATTGTAAACCAAGTCGTATCTTTTCAATCAACAGTGGACTTTTCAGCAAGTGAAGCAAGAGGTGCAACAAACTCACAACCCTAACTATCCTGTGAAGGCCAGGATGAAAACTCAACTGCTCCTCATTTTCAAATTACTTGATTCCAACGATGACACACTTGGCAATGAATGGAGAGACAAAATGATTAAACAAAAAACGAAAGCCAGAAAATGTAGTTTGGACACCACATCGGGGGAAGTTAAATAAAATATATAGTCAGAGAAGTATTAATTCCATAAATCCTACTTGTCGTTGTTATAAACTTGGTATTAAAAATCCCACCCACGTGTTTAGGACACCACGATAGAGCCAAGTGGAGATAAACAAAACTGCCCATCTGTTTTCATTTTAAAAGATATTCAGTTTTCCATGTCAAGCACCATAGGTCTGTTTAGAATGTAACAAACTCATGCTTCTGGAAAAGAAATCCAGAAAAGGACATCTAAGCCCTTTAAAATGACAACACAATGTGTAAAGAAGATAAACCATGAAAAACCAATCGATAAAGCAGACTTATGTTTCCTTCTCTGAAAGGGGGAGAATATTTTGATTGTTCTTGGTATCTACCAAAGCAAGCTCTACTTCTAATCATGTTTCTTACCGATGGACCCTCAGAGGATTGGGGAGAAAATCGATCTCACCATGATAGAACTTTCCTTTTAATTTGATGGATACCGAAAAGCTGCACTGAATTGAATGTCTTAGCTCAAGAATCTACACCACACATGTCCTTCGCCTACACAATGCTTGTGAATTGTGGGTCTTAAGGATTTATTTCAATACTCTTCTTCCTCTGGGCTCTGTGTACACACCAGAACGCTTTGTACTGTGGAGAAACAATGTAAATAAATCTTGTAATAGAATAATCTTTCCCAAATCACGTTTTTGGCAAGAAGATGTGTTTTACAGCTGTCTCTCTGTTGTAGCTGCAGATGCCAACAGCAGTGGAACTTTTACAAGCTCTACTACAAGTTTGACATCCAGTGGATTGCAGATCTGGGAAAGCTAACTTCATGCTTCCTTTTCATGTTTTTGACAGATTGATAATATGTACTGCCCATGAACTAAGGTGTGTACAAATAAAGTCATTATCCTCAGCCTTAGAGTTAACTTTTGGGAAGAAGAAAGTTGTTACGATATAGATAGACCTTCAGAAAGGATACTGAGAGGCGTTCTTTCTTTTGTTCTTTGTTTCTTGCTTGGTTAAGATAGTTGGGGATGTTATCCTCAGAGTTGTTCACTGCAGTAATATGAAAGTAAGTCAATAGGCTTTTGTTTGTTTGTTTGTTTGTTTGTTTGTTTGTTTGTTTGTTTGTTTGTTTGTTTGTTTGGCTGTTCTTTTGCTCAGAAATGAGATAGTTCTTAGTATGCCAGGAGATGATGGTCAGCTTCTTAGGCTTCATCTTCTACAGATGGCGATGTCTCATGGATGGGTAGACCATACTATTTGCCAACACAGCCTAAGCATCATGTCAAACATTTCTGGTCTGTTTCCAGAATTTGTCACATCCATGTCAATTACTAAAAACTCATAGAATCACATCAATACCAAAAAGGATTGCCACAACTGTGAAGGATGAGGAAGAATCTTGAAATCACACCTCACTTTTTCTATCAACTTTATAGTTCACTTTTACTGGGCCACTGCCTGTCCTTTGGAGAAAGAACAGGCAATTTCTTTGAAAGCTATACATTCTCTCTTTTAAAAAATGTAGGTGCTCCTTTGTTCTCTCAGTCACTTGAACTTTTTTTGGAAGGAGATATATAATGAACTCATAGCTAGCAAAACAAATAACATTCACTCCCTCTCGCTTTTTCTTAAAAGGGTCAACCAAGGGTGCAGGAATTAAAACCCAGGCATTCTCTTTTCCTTCTTTAATTCCTCTTCTCACCCTAATTCCAATTCTTTCCCCCTCAATTCTTCCAATTCCTATTCCCCTGCAGATCCTTCTAATGATCTTGATTCTTTTCCATTGCCCTCTATTTCTCTAAGTTTTCTCCACTTTTCTTTTTCCAAAACTTTGGCATTTTGCAGACTGGTTTTCTCATTTCAAAAATGGGAAACATGATACCTTCTTTATGCTGCTGTGACATTTAAGTGGGGTTTATCAGGTAATGTTTAATTCCTAACCCAAGGCCTGAAATACTGCAAATCTGCTGAATGTGAGTGGTGAGCCCAAACCTGTTTCACAGGGAGATGACCTGTCAGCTGTCAGTTATTAAAGCACAGAGTGAAGAAATCAACTCCTCTGCTCCAATCTTCAATATACTAGTTTTAAAAATTATAGATGCATCAAAAAAAGTCAAGTCTTTGTTCATATGGTCCACTCTAGTGGCAATCTTACATTCAGAAAGTTATACCCAACTTAACTTTATAAATCATGGGAATAATTCAGTGATAAAGTGATGCTAATTTCTCCTCTAATTTTTTTTTAAATCCTATATTTGTTTTTCATGGTAAGGTAGGCCCAAACTTACAAAATATTCACTGAATCATCTTTTCCTCTACAAACATGGTAGTCTGAACCTAATAGGGACCGTTATCTAAATATATCTAGGTTTCATTATAATTAATCTAAATGTTTGATTTTATAGAAAATGAGAAACCTCCCTTATTAAACGACTGTCTCATTGTTTTACATTCTCCTAGGTTCATCCTGACAAAACTCAGGCAATGGGGCAGAAGGATGGTTTTCTGTGTTACGTTAGAATTGAGTTTGGTTTGTTTTGGATCTCTTTGTCCATAGGCATTGTAGCCTAAACAAATCAAACTGATCTGCCTTGAGTTATCTAAGACTTGGAAGTTCAAGTGCACAGATAGAGCAAATGCAACAACCATAATAAGTTTGGCTGCCAGGCTTCCAAATACCACATGAGTTATCCCCCAGGTATGAGTGAGAGAGGGATGATAGTCTCCAAAACCATTGGATGTGCTGTGATTAAGCTCCAAGTGCTTATCTACAATATTAACCCCCACAGAACCATGTGAAAATGAGTTCTATTTTATCATGCTGTTACCAGTGAGGAAAATTAAGCTCAAGGAAGTGAAAGCAATTTATGTAATTTACTGCCATGCCTCTAATCCCAAGGCTTCATCTGGAATGGTGATTCTCAATCATGGATGATTTTATTTCCCTCTCCCTGGGGGACAGGAATACCACCTGGAGCATTATGGGTTGCCATAACTGAGTGGGTGAGGGTGCTTTCAGTGACTAGTGGGCAGTCATCCTACAATGTTGAGAATACCTCACACGATTACCAGACCCCAAATATCAATATTGCCAAAGTTTAGAAACTGAACTAGTCTCTAGAGCAGTCCAATAAAACTTATTGTGACTAGAAAATGTTTATCAACATTGTGTAACTGAAAGACTGACCATTTTAAAATTTAGTTTAATTATAAATGATTTCTATTAGTCAGTTATAACTACAGGTTATTCTATTGGGTAGTGTAGATCTTCCCGGAGTCTGCTATGTTAGTACTTCATTGCCTAAAGAATGTAATAGAATAACAATTT